TCGTGATGTTGTTATACCTGGTGTAGATTCTAGTGTAGTTACCGGTATTGATGTACAGGAACACGATGTGTCACAGCAATAAAACCTAACCTCATAATTATAACACAGTCGTACTTTCTGGTCTTCATGGAAACAAACTAAACCATGATTAAGATCACATGTTAACGTTTGACCTGTCTCATTATATGGTAAGTGAGGACTGATATTAAGTCTACATTCAATGACTTCAGGGTTTTCACAAAATGAATATTCATTTCGCAGGTCTGATATAAGTTCAAACTCTCCTGGTGCTAAGTGGTCTACTTTATCACCATGTTCATCGTCCATCCAGTCAGTCCATTTACAATCACAGTCACATAATGGTGTGGGAGTATACTTTTGTGTAGTTGTCGATAATGTGCTTTCACTCGGTGTTGATTTTGCTGGTGTACTTATTTCTGGAGTTGATACTGGTGGTGAACTTGATTCCAGAGATACTGGTGGCGTTAGTGATGTAGTTATACCTGGTGTAGATTTTGGGGAAGTAGTTGTTGGTGTAGTGATAACTGGTGTTGATTCTGTTGGTATTTGTGATGTGGTTAGGCCTGATGTAGATTCTGGAGTAGTTGGTGGTGTAGTGATTACTGATGTTGATTCTTGTGGCATTCGTGATGTAGTTAGCCTTGATGTAGATTCTGGAGTAGTTGGTAATGTAGTGATTACTGGTGTTGATTCAGGCGGTGTTCGTGATGTTGTTATACCTGGTGTAGATTCTAGTGTAGTTACCGGTATTGATGTACAGGAACACGATGTGTCACAGCAATAAAACCTAACCTCATAATTATAACACAGTCGTACTTTCTGGTCTTCATGGAAACAAACTAAACCATGATTAAGATCACATGTTAACGTTTGACCTGTCTCATTATATGGTAAGTGGGGACTGATATTAAGTCTACATTCAATGGCTTCAGGATTTTCACAAAATGAATATTCATTTCGCAGTTCTGATATAAGTTCAAACTCTCCTAGTGCTAAGTGGTCTACTTTATCACCATGTTCATTGTCCATCCAGTCAGTCCATTTACAATCACAGTCACATAATGGTGTGGGAGTATACTTTTGTGTGGTTGTCGATAATGTGGTTTCACCTGGTGTTGATTCTTGTGTTGTACTTATTTCTGGAGTTAATTCTGGTGGTACACTTGATCCCATAGATACTGGTGGCGTTGGTGATGTAGTGATACCTGGTGTAATTATTGGGGAAGTAGTTTTTGGTGTAGTGATAAGTGGTGTTGATTCTGGTGGTGTTCGAGATTCAGTTAGACCTGATGTAGATTCCGGAGTAGTTGGTGGTGTAGTTATTTCAGATGTTGATTCTGGTGGCGTTCGTGGTGTAGTTATGCTTGATGTAGATTCTGGAGTAGTTGGTGATGTAGTGATTACTGGTGTTGATTCTGGTGGTGTTTGTGATGTGGTTAGGCCTGATGTAGATTCTGGAGTAGTTGGTGGTGTAGTGATTACTGATGTTGATTTTTGTGGCATTCGTGATGTAGTTAGCCTTGATGTAGATTCTGGAGTAGTTGGTAATGTAGTGATTACTGGTGTTGATTCAGGCGGTGTTCGTGATGTTGTTATACCTGGTGTAGATTCTAGAGTAGTTACCGGTATTGATGTACAGGAACACGATGTGTCACAGCAATAAAACCTAACCTCATAATTATAACACAGTCGTACTTTCTGGTCTTCATGGAAACAAACTAAACCATGATTAAGATCACATGTTAACGTTTGACCTGTCTCATTATATGGTAAGTGGGGACTGATATTAAGTCTACATTCAATGGCTTCAGGATTTTCACAAAATGAATATTCATTTCGCAGTTCTGATATAAGTTCAAACTCTCCTGGTGCTAAGTGGTCTACTTTATCACCATGTTCATCGTCCATCCAGTCAGTCCATTTACAATCACAGTCACATAATTGTGTGGGAGTATACTTTTGTGTGGTTGTCGATAATGTGCTTTCACCCGGTGTTGATTTTGCTTGTGTACTTATTTCTGGTGTTGATACTGGTGGTGAACTTGATTCCAGAGATACTGGTGGCGTTAGTGATGTAGTTATACCTGGTGTAGATTTTGGGGAAGTAGTTGTTGGTGTAGTGATAACTGGTGTTGATTCTGTTGGTGTTTGTGATGTGGTTAGGCCTGATGTAGATTCTGGAGTAGTTGGTGGTGTACTGATTACTGATGTTGATTCTTGTGGCATTCGTGATGTAGTTATGCTTGATGTAGATTCTGGAGTAGTTGGTAATGTAGTGATTACTGGTGTTGATTCAGGTGGTGTTTGTGATGTTGTTATACCTGGTGTAGATTCTAGTGTAGTTACCGGTATTGATGTACAGGAACACGATGTGTCACAGCAATAAAACCTAACCTCATAATTATAACACAGTCGTACTTTCTGGTCTTCATGGAAACAAACTAAACCATGATTAAGATCACATGTTAACGTTTGACCTGTCTCATTATATGGTAAGTGGGGACTGATATTAAGTCTACATTCAATGGCTTCAGGATTTTCACAAAATGAATATTCATTTCGCAGTTCTGATATAAGTTCAAACTCTCCTGGTGCTAAGTGGTCTACTTTATCACCATGTTCATCGTCCATCCAGTCAGTCCATTTACAATCACAGTCACATAATGGTGTGGGAGTATACTTTTGTGTGGTTGTCGATAATGTGGTTTCACCTGGTGTTGATTCTTGTGTTGTACTTATTTCTGGAGTTAATTCTGGTGGTACACTTGATCCCATAGATACTGGTGGCGTTGGTGATGTAGTGATACCTGGTGTAATTATTGGGGAAGTAGTTTTTGGTGTAGTGATAAGTGGTGTTGATTCTGGTGGTGTTCGAGATTCAGTTAGACTGATGTAGATTCCGGAGTAGTTGGTGGTGTAGTTATTTCAGATGTTGATTCTGGTGGCGTTCGTGGTGTAGTTATGCTTGATGTAGATTCTGGAGTAGTTGGTGATGTAGTGATTACTGGTGTTGATTCTGGTGGTGTTTGTGATGTGGTTAGGCCTGATGTAGATTCTGGAGTAGTTGGTGGTGTAGTGATTACTGATGTTGATTCTTGTGGCATTCGTGATGTAGTTAGCCTTGATGTAGATTCTGGAGTAGTTGGTAATGTAGTGATTACTGGTGTTGATTCAGGCGGTGTTCGTGATGTTGTTATACCTGGTGTAGATTCTAGAGTAGTTACCGGTATTGATGTACAGGAACACGATGTGTCACAGCAATAAAACCTAACCTCATAATTATAACACAGTCGTACTTTCTGGTCTTCATGGAAACAAACTAAACCATGATTAAGATCACATGTTAACGTTTGACCTGTCTCATTATATGGTAAGTGGGGACTGATATTAAGTCTACATTCAATGGCTTCAGGATTTTCACAAAATGAATATTCATTTCGCAGTTCTGATATAAGTTCAAACTCTCCTGGTGCTAAGTGGTCTACTTTATCACCATGTTCATCGTCCATCCAGTCAGTCCATTTACAATCACAGTCACATAATTGTGTGGGAGTATACTTTTGTGTGGTTGTCGATAATGTGCTTTCACCCGGTGTTGATTTTGCTTGTGTACTTATTTCTGGAGTTGATACTGGTGGTGAACTTGATTCCAGAGATACTGGTGGCGTTAGTGATGTAGTTATACCTGGTGTAGATTTTGGGGAAGTAGTTGTTGGTGTAGTGATAACTGGTGTTGATTCTGTTGGTGTTTGTGATGTGGTTAGGTCTGATGTAGATTCTGGAGTAGTTGGTGGTGTACTGATTACTGATGTTGATTCTTGTGGCATTCGTGATGTAGTTATGCTTGATGTAGATTCTGGAGTAGTTGGTAATGTAGTGATTACTGGTGTTGATTCAGGTGGTGTTTGTGATGTTGTTATACCTGGTGTAGATTCTAGTGTAGTTACCGGTATTGATGTACAGGAACACGATGTGTCACAGCAATAAAACCTAACCTCATAATTATAACACAGTCGTACTTTCTGGTCTTCATGGAAACAAACTAAACCATGATTAAGATCACATGTTAACGTTTGACCTGTCTCATTATATGGTAAGTGGGGACTGATATTAAGTCTACATTCAATGGCTTCAGGATTTTCACAAAATGAATATTCATTTCGCAGTTCTGATATAAGTTCAAACTCTCCTGGTGCTAAGTGGTCTACTTTATCACCATGTTCATCGTCCATCCAGTCAGTCCATTTACAATCACAGTCACATAATGGTGTGGGAGTATACTTTTGTGTGGTTGTCGATAATGTGGTTTCACCTGGTGTTGATTCTTGTGTTGTACTTATTTCTGGAATTAATTCTGGTGGTACACTTGATCCCAGAGATACTAGTGGCGTTGGTGATGTAGTGATACCTGGTGTAGATTTTGGAGAAGAAGTTGGTGGTGTAGTGGTAACTGGTGTTGATTCCGGTGGTGTTCGTGATGTAGTTAGGTTTGCTGTATATTCCGAAGTAGTTGGTGGTGTAGTTATTACTGGTGTTGATTTTTGAGGTGTACTTAACTCTGGAGTTGATACTGGTGGTACACTTGATTCCAGTGATGCTGGTGGCGTTGGTGAAGTAGTTATACCTGGTGTAGATTTGGGGGAAGAAGTTGTTGGTGTAGTGATAACTGGTGTTGATTCTGGTGGTGTTCGAGATTCAGTTAGACCTGATGTAGATTCCGTAGTAGTTGGTGACGTAGTGATTACTGGTGTATTTGTATTTGGTGATGTAGATATCAGTGGGGTTGATTTTTGCGGTGTTTGTGATGTTATTCCTGGTGTAGATTCCGGAGTAGTTGGTGATTTAGTTATTTCTGTTGCTGATACTGGTGGTTCTTGGTGTGAAGTTGATCCTGACCATGTCCGTGTGATAGTTATTTCTTGTGTAGATATCAACGTTGTCGGTGATGGTTGTGACGTCACTATTGATGTTGGTGGTGAAGTTGTAACGCATTCACTGACACACTGATATCCATCCCACAATTGTCCGTCTGGGCATGCACACCCTTCCACACATGTGTCTAGACATTGCCCATCTGGTCCGATTCTGTGATGGTTGGCACACGTCTGATTACAGATAGAAATACATGGATCGTATGTCCAGCAGTCTTCGCACTGTATAGCTGTGAGTGTTAATGCAAATAAATGACAATGTTTAGTAGATGTCACTGTTTGAGTGATAAACATAACAAGTCGACTCATTGGGACAATAGAGCCATCCATAAACTGTCAATTTTACGATGAATCTTACTAATTATATCAGTCATATTGCTTTTAAATAAGTAGTATGTTACGTTCATATGCGAATTACACACGTGGGAATTCAATTGAGGATTCAAGCAGGTACGGTGCGTGCTTTTGGTTGTCCTGCAGCAATTATTAATGCTACTATAATTTGTCAGCATTTTTTCACGCAATTGACATGTATATAGCCCAGGGATTAATTAGCATAATCAGTATTTCTACTTCTTCTGTGTTGCAATTGACACGCCTTTAATAGTCTGTAAATGCCATCTGTTTGAAGTAGTATTTAACTAACTTACGACATAGCTCTTGGGTTCGCCACTTGATTGGTACACCGTGGGTATTGCATTCTTGGGCATATGCTGCGATGGCCGTACATAAGCATTCACAATCACCTCCCATGTCACAGCCACACGAGTCGTATTCACACATTGTCAAATAAGGTTGGTAAGGTACTTCGCTGTGACATGGTTGAAAAAGATCGGATTTGACAACACTGCAGCTTTTTCTAGCCCATGATTGTCTTTCAGGATGAGCAAGACACGTATCTGGTGCAATTGGGGCATCTGGGCAGTAGTCTAAAATCTAAAATATGATATGATATATGATTTAAATGCATAAGCGTTCAGTAATTGTTATGAAATATTTGATAGCAATTAATTAATATGTTATCTTATTAAAATAAATCCTTACCTTCCAGCTGTTACCAAACTCGTTTGCTAAAGTAAGTGGAAAGCCACCATCTGGTGGCAAGAAGTCATCATTTTGGTCACCATTGAAATTGCCACACAATCCTTCTACCTACAAATGATACAAACACACAACTTTCAGACGGGAATTTTTGTTCATCACATCGAAGCAAATTGCCAGGTTCATATTTTATTTTCACTTACCATTCCTTTATGTGAGGGACTCAACTTTACGGATACTCTTGTCCCGCCATCCCATTGTATAGTCAATCCAATAGATGTGTGTACAAACACGAAAAATCCAACTTCACTGAGTTCAAACCCCAAACCATCACCATACGTTATTTCTGGTGGCGATCCCCGAACTAGATGCAATCGATGCTGGTCACTGCCAGTTCCTGAGAAATCGACATTTTTCAAATATAATTTAAAGACTAATAAATATGTTTGAGAAACAAAATAAAATGCACAATGGTTATATTCTACATACGCCAAGTTTCGACTGTGGAATTAATAAATATCGAAATATATACGAATGAGTGACAAACAATGTTCTAAACGCATAAAGCTAGTAGCATACATTTCCTAGCCACTGTGATGCAATTCATATCTTACCTATGGTGACTGTGATCTCTTTTGTGCATGTGACTCCTGTAGTTCCACATGGTACGTTTTTTACAACAATGTTGAATGCATGTGAGTTCAATAGTGTGCTACGTGATAATACGTAATCACACGCCCCTTGGAAGCTGTACATCTTGGCATCAAAAGTGACGTAATGGGGATCTCCCCATGCTGTGCATACTCCTATCGTCGGACAAAAAATGGTTAAATAAATAGCGGCAGGGAACAATTTATCACACTCATTAGTCCTGATTGATATTATTGAGTATCACACATCATTCAGTATCTCCATGTATTCACCACATACCTGTGTCACGAACACAATTAAAGAATCATTTGTCTTTCGATTCACCAGTTGAACCAATGCTGCAAATGCCTCGTAACCCATGCCCGCATCACTTACACCCCATATGAACATCTACAACATCTATGGTACCTACCTGGGCATACTTCCGTTTCACATATCCATTGACTTCCATCACAATGGCTGAAAAATACAATAACGCATTGTGAAGTATTGTATTCTAAAGCTTAGTGAAGAACTTAGCAAAGAAATGTTGCCTATATGGCGGAGTACTACCATGATACACACAGCAAGCCAGAAAGTCAATGATACATAAAATATACGGAATGGAACCAATATGATGTCAAACCCATAATGACCTTTTAGGCAACAAATTGACAAATAGTATACGTAATTGCACATCTGCTTGACATATGATAGCAGCTAGCAGAACTTAAATAGTCGCATACTAGTTGTACTCAATATTAGACACTGTATCTTAATTATTCACCAAGTGGATTCATTAAAACCAATCTCAAACTGTAATTAAAGAGGGAGGGTCGTCACCTGCGCACGCGCGGGAATCGGGTCCCAAGCGACGATCATGAACGACACACGCTAATAACGCAAAGGCTCATGGGTAGACGCTTGTTTTGTAAACAATGACATGCTATGGCCATATGACGCATGCGCAGGTAACGACACTCCCGCTTTAAGGCGATTCGCTGAGCCAACAACAACAATGATAATGCACTTACCATTTATTGCAATCGATGGAAATTGTTTCTCCATGATGATAACTCCTTCCTGCATGATGACAAGGACACTCAATAGGGTAGACGCACGTGTATCCGTTCCACACTGTCAAATTATTGCATTGGCAGCCTCGTTCACAGACAGCCGCAGAACACTGGTGAACGTGATGATGCTGGTGCATGTTGGCACAAGTTTTGGGGCATTCAGAAATGCAGTCAATATATTCTTGGTTTTCTCCTGGGCAGGAATTTATTGGGCATTCAACTCCTTCACAGGTCCAATCGCCACCTTCACACTGACTGCAAATGAACAAAACTGTTCACTCATGATATATAATTGCGGAATTAAAATCAAGATGAACTATAGTTTAGAAAGTGTCGCGGAGAACAATGTTGTAAGTATTGGTTGAAAATGTATTCCTGCTCGTGTCCATCTATACATTACACGCTATTTCCAGCCGTTTTATAAATCGCTTTCAACACTGATGAATTTATAATATATATTATATTTATTTAGTGATTATTTAATATAAAGAATAAATTGTATAAATATATATTAGAATTGAACGACGACTTACCAAAAGCCACATCCTCTTTCAATGATTTCACGCGGTTCATAGTCGATGTCTTTGTACTCACATGGACAGTTAGCAATTGGAACACAGTTACCATGGTAGTCCATGACCATACCGAGAGGACAGCCACATCCGGGTACACATTCATCGTCACATGGTTCCTGGAAACTCAACGATTTGCATGAAGTCCCACATGATGAGCCACATTCCTTATAGACCAAACCCCAATTGCATTCCATACCTGTTATTAAATAATGCGCACATTAATAAGATATGAGCGGCGTTACGATTATTGAAAATGTGTTTTTACTGATCCAAACATATCTTAGTGGCACCAAATGAGAAAACAAAAGATGGAGTGACTATGCTAATTCTAATATTATGCTAATAGAATGCAAATAGTAGAACATAGCAGTTGCTGTTTTGGGGGTGTTTACTGGTACATAGTTTGTGTACAAAATTTACCCCATTCATTTGGTATCACAGAAATCTTTGTTGGTCTTGGTTCAGTATTGCCAAATTATATTTCATATCTCACCTGATACATTACATTATATTTTTCTTTTACTGGTTGGATATAAAGATGTATCTGAAATTACTCACTGCACTCGGGTATGGCTTCCCTCCAGTGGATCACCACACCCCTATTACCACACTCGTATGCATAATCAGCGAATATGTCACAGTGACAGTCCCCGGTTTGGCAGCTACACATGTCGTATCTACAGTTCTCATAGTACAGTTCTGGGTTCACTTCAGAGTGGCAAACTGAAATAAAAATTGAAGAACTGCAAATAGCGGATATATATGCATGATTTTTAAGTCTAAATAGCGTAATACATAATTTGTAAATTCGGTAAAAAATAAATATACAGTACGAGTATTACGTCACTTCAGTAATTTAAATATAACAATCACCTGTGAAAATGTCATTGTTCTTCAGTTTCCCACAAAGCTGTTCGGCAAGAGATGCCTGCTGAGAATAGAGATCGCATGGATGCAGGTCATCTGGAGGAATGTCCGGGCATGTTTCGTCCACTTTGCATTTATTCCCAAAATTTACAGGACTTGTTTCGATGTTTCCTGTCAAGTTCACATGTAAGTGAAGAAAATATATTGTTCATAGAGCGGTTATTCTTTTGCACAACTGTAAGAAAGACAATTCATTTCTGGGTTCGCGTTGTCTTGTACATTAACTACGTGTATATTATGCAGTGTACAATATTTAAAATGAATTGAACATATCACGATTATTGACTACTAGTATTATATAATATAATCCATTATTATATTAACCTTCAGATGTGTAAAAATCGTCTAGTTGGTTATTGTTGAAAGTTCCACACAATCCACAAGTCTGATTAAAATGATTCACACTAATCTTTATCCTGACTCTCATGCGATTATCCCAGAATATACGAATACCATTGGTCAGGGTTACCTGAAAAGAGAAACTTCTTGTACTGTGAGTGCATATATACTATGCTATACGTATATACTATAACCGGGCAACAAGAGAAAAAAAAACGTGTATCACGTCCTTGTGCACCATTTGGTGGGGGGTGAGACGTGCTTTTAACAGCACGATTATTTTTATAAATTTATCTCCGAATGAAAATTTTGTACCTAGGGTAGACATCTCCGACAAGATAGTATTGTTTTGTTTTCAATTATGACAATCGCATAACACTGTAATTGTGACCACCGACTAGTACCTTCATATATATTGATGATATTTTCTCGATATAAATATCACTTAGAATGAGTGGAAACACTGTTGCATCTTCCCCATTTGCGATGACATTGTGATCCCTCTTCAACTTGACAATGTCATTTCCAACTTCAATCAAGACAGCTTTGGTACATGTACGCTCGCTGCGACCACAGGGAGTGTTGTCGGCAATGATGTGGTAGGTACTGTTTTGTGCATAACAGTTTTTCACTAATGTGTAAGAACAGTCACCCATAAAGTCGTATGTACGACCGTCAAATGTGCGATAATGTGGGTCACCAGACGCTGTGCACGTTCCTAATAAATAAATAAATAAATAAATAAATAAATAAATAAATAAATAAATAAATAAATAAATAAATAAATAAATAAATAAATAAATAAATAAATAAATAAATTAAAAAATATAAAATAAATAATTTATTTATTTTAATTATTTTTTTTTTTATATTTTATACTTTAAGAATTTGAATTATGGAGTCACGTCAATAATTATCTTGAATTGCATATACACATACCGTAGAGAAAACTAACCTTGGCATATATAATTAGTACACATATCCCATTTCCCACTAATACATCGGCTAAAAATGCAAAAGTAAACATATTAATCAAGCGATGAAGATAAAAGTTGTTTTATTGTATTTGAAACGCCTTGAAATCCCATTGGTCAATCGGTACAGCCTGCAGTCCTGTTATCAAATGATAAATGGGCAGTGCTTGAAGTCAATATACAGATATACGAACACGATTGTATGAGTTTGACTCATCAATATTCAATGTTTCATCGCATCTGTAACGTACCGACCATTAAGCTTTAAGGTTAAGACATTCTGGTCATTTTCACTGAAATTTACATGTGTTTGTTGCCAGTCCTTTGTCCGTGAACGTCTATGCGTAACTAAATTACGGGGGTCCACGACACTAACCACACTTTACTACTTATCTCCTCTCAACCTAATACTGCACGTGGTTTTATAGTTTCCCCGTATTGCGTGATAACATGGCTCGGCTGAGAATTTTGTTTAAATAATATGCAGACTACGTCATTGGCATATGCCCATTCTTGCCTTGTTATTTAAACTACAATAATTCACCCACAGCTCCATATTGGATATGGAGTCTATGACAAGTTACCAAACATATTACTGCGTCTGGATCCTACTCCGAATCCAATATAAGGCTGTGGCGGTCATCATCATCAGAATTAAACATAAAACATTAAATTTTGAGGCTTTTTGTTGAAATAAATCTCATTACAAATAGAGGTTTACATGGTCATGTGATAATGTTAAGCTACGACGTCATAAAAACTCTCTAGTTCATATAGTGGTGATTTATAACACAAAATAGTGCGTTATTCTTTCTTCCATAAATATTAGACCTTAAATGTATTGTTTTTATTTATTCAATGATTAGTTAGTTGAGGCAATCCCTATATGTCAAGGTAATATTTTAGTGACTCCAATATGAGCACACGTTCCTTAAAGATAGCTGGCAATGACCATGTTGACAATATCACGACATTTGAGACTATTGCCGAATACTCGAATAAGACCGAATGCCACATTAATTACGTAATATACACTACGAATATCAACAGTGACCATAGTAGTTTACATCTATATTATTATACATCTGTCATCGTAACGCCATAAGTTACAGCGTGTCGTAATTTTGCCGTATTTTACGGGGTATTTTCATCCTACCATATAAGGAAATGCGAATTCCAAATATGAAATGATTACGCGCGTAAGCGTCCTCTAATAATAAAAACAAACATGGCAGCCATTGGAGTTTGACCGGACTCCACACAAAGAAGTTCGCTGATTCTGTTCTAAACTTTTTGGATTTCGGCATTCCCATGATGTATCCTTGGAAGGAAAAGATGTCTAATAATAAGGTTATTACGAGGATACCTCAAAGTATGCACTCAGACATTACGCGCTTGCGCGGTCGGTTAATACTGCCGCTGTCTTCCTGGCATACTTTGAGGTTTCCTCGTAATAACCTCATATTATGACGTCATTAAGAGTCGCTGTCTTACCATTCGTTGCAGTCATGGCGTATAGTGGATCCAGGTTTGTATTCTATCCCATGGTAAATACAAGGACACTCTGACCTTGGCAGACACTGTTCTTCGTGCAAGTACTTTCCAGGTGGACAATGACAGCCTTCTAAACAGTGGTTATCGTCACAATTATACATTGCAGAGCGACAGGTTTGTGGACACGTGGTTCCACAGTTATCGTAAGTCATACCATCGGGACATTGTAAATCTGTCAAACCAGAACATTGGTTACACATAAGTTTAGATACGATTTGGGCCAACTCATCTGTTGTATATGGTTATATAGCGCACCGTATTCCCACAAAATGTCATGTGCCCTTCCTACGTTTGGTTGTGTAGTCGTTCACCTGTTTAAAGGTAGTTAACCAGACTTCTCACATTTGCGGGTCGAACCAAGCCCTTCTCACACTAAAAGAGAATAGTAGTCTGGTGCAGCATAACTTGTAAATCCTCGCCTGACTACAGTCTGGATACAAATATTGTATACACAACTGTAAGTTTTCATGGTCGCCGCCAACGTGGACACTCCCTTCAACTCAGGAAATGAAAGTAACCAATGCTTACCACACAAATCAGGCCTTCTCCAATCGAGAGGACGCCCTCGTTTAGTGCATTCCTTGGCATAGGCGGTGAAAGTACTGCACATACAATCCTGTCTGCTGATATTACATGCACAGACATCCTTCTCACATTCCACAATGTACGGTAGCGGAGACACAACCTGGGATAATGTAGAAAAGTACATTTGTCAATGCTGTGTAAAACTAATCATTAGTCCATACACAATTGTGATCAAAGCTTAGTTCTTTGTTTAATGCAATCATTTAAAAACATATTCACAATATATTATCTCGATAAACACTTCAGATGAGTCAATTTGTAGAGGTTCTTCGTCTTTTTTGTTTGGCATGTTACATTTAACACAACTCTTCGATAATCTTTCTAAAAAGATCAACCCTAAATTTGACAATAATGCGCGCTCGTTATTGGAATAGACTGAACTGAATGAATGAATGGAAACTGACATGAACAGTTATCGAGGAAAGTTATTCAAACAATTTGTCACTATAAAACCAGGTGGTACTCAGGCTAGGAAAAAAGCACATCAATCACGAGCAATATGCATTCTGTCGCTTCAGAATTGTACACAACTGACAAATATGCGATGGTTTCGGTCATCCTGTAATTAGAATACCCTAATTTTAGATAATTTGGAAATATAGATCAGTACTTCTACCTAGTAAATCGCAAAAGTGCAAATCTGAAAAAAACACATCAAGGACACAAACCCGCAAATGATATGGTTTGTCAAGCTTACCGAATGGCATATACTAAAAGGAGAGTCATCAAGTAACGAACAGACATCCCTGGCATAATCCTGTATCTCGATCTCGTCTTGGTACTGCTCCGCTAGTTCGGGTGGTATGACAGTATCAGTACATCGTGTAGGTGTGGGGGGAATATCAGGACACGATGCTGAGTAATCAATAAACAAACAAACGAAAACTTAAAAAACAAGCCATGCATGGCACAGTCCCCGTTAGTTATCAAATTTAAGATATATAGTTTTGATTATAGTAATATAGCTGGAATATAACCATGTCAGGAATATGATTTTTTAACATTAAATTGATTGACAATTGTATCTGATCGTCAAAAAAGTACTTGTCCATATTGAGAGATATTGCTCTGGAACAGCATTCAAAATCAGCCATTTTGAATACATGTATATATATAACATGATGTATAACGAATATATAAAATTTGAATATAATCAGTCAAAGCATGTAGGAGATATGTCTCTAGAAGCCCAATCATTAAAACAAAATGGCCGCCAGACAACCATTTTGAATCCGATCTGAAAAATAAATGATGTGCATCAGGAACCTGTAATGTTTAACATATGTACCAAGTTTGAACGAAATCCATCCATAAATGCTTGATATTTGATGATTTTTTAGCACAAAAATGGCCACCATTTAGCCATTTTGAATAGGATCGTCAAAACCAATATATCTATCTATCTATCTATGACATGATGTATAATGAAAATTTAAAATTCAAACATAATCAGTGAAAGCAAGTCAGAGATATGGTACGAGAACCACATTCATTAAAAAAAATGGCCGCCAGTCTGAAAAACAGTATTATTTGCATCAAGGTCCCATAATGTCTAATGTATATACCAAGTTTGAACAAAATCCATCTGTAAACAGCCGAGAAATGCTTGATTTTGATGATTTTTTTAGCACAAAAATGGCCGCCATTCGGCCATCTTGAATCAGATCGTGACACAAATTGACGTGCATATGTATACTATCATGTATGATGTATGTGTGAAGTTTGATTGTGATTGGTCTAGGCATTTCTAAGATACAGATCCGGACGAACGCACACACGCACGCACGGACGGACGGACGGACACACGGAAGTCAAAACATAAGTCCCCGTTTTCGGACTGCGTCCGAACGGGTACTAAAAAGTTTACGTGTAAGATTGCACTCGACTTACATAATAGCAAATGCTTCCACGTTTTTCCGGACAACATTATGCTCTAGAAATTAACCTTATTTGGTTCGCCAACATGACAGTTTTACAACATTTTTTTGTAATATTCGGAATTCAGATCTGACCAAGCATTACCAACAATAAGTACGCACGTGCGTAAGTAAGATTTCAACAACAAAAAATGAGTATATTTTACCGTCAGGATATTTCCACGAAAGACCAAATGCAGTCTCCTGTCCGGCAGTCAACACTTTGCCTGATGAGGTGGTAAAATCGTCAAAAGTATTATTATTATACGTGCCACACAGTCCACACGTTTTGTCGTATAGATCGCTGCTCAATATCTCAATATAAACACCTTCTGCTCCATCCCAAATAAGTTTGAATCCCACGCTGCTGCGAACGAGGATATGCCCGGTAACGCTTTCAATAACTAAACCGTTGACATCAACCGGCAATGCTAAATCGGCGCCGTCTAGCGTCACTATCGGCTCATCATTTTGACGATACAGGTGTAATGTTTGCAACTGTCCAATGGCAACCATCAGACTACGTTCACATCCCGCGTATGGAGGAGAGCAGGATCGACTATTGGTGATGAATATCTCGAATGAAGAACTGAAACAATCTGCTACAAGAACGTAGCTGCATATGCCTTCGAAGGAGTATACGTGACCATCAAACGTACGATAGGAATTCTGACCCCATGAAGTACAGTAACCTGTGGCTGGAAGCGCTGCCAATAAAAACATAGATTTAGGTAATCGTTAGATAATATGCTATACTTTACGTAATATCAATGTCAGGCTGGATTATTCTACGCAACACATGGTTTTCACACGAGAGTTCGTCGATCGAGCAGTAAGGAATGTAAGGAACTCCAATTAATATTAAGAGGTAAATAGGATAACAATTAGTATTTTGAGCATTTTCAATTAAAATGTATGAAAAGAGTTCCTTTTGTACCCCCATCACTAACCCTAATCCTACCTCTACCCTCCAGCACTCCCCATTTAATTGTACATGCCCCTCCTAAGGACATCTATAGTTATCTAGAGGGGGCATATACAAATTAATTGGGTAACTGGGAGTGAGTGTTAGACAGTTAGAGTTAGGGTTAGGGATGGGGGGTACAAAAGGAACTCTTGCCAAATTTATTCATTAAAACATCAGGGTATGGTTTATCATTAAAAAAACAATATATATGATTTTGGCTGCAAACATATTAATATTCGCTTCTGTGTGTATAGGTAAATTCGAGACGTATGCGCAGAATGTTTCTGTACACATTCGTCCAAAACAAATGTTTTACTTCTATCAGAATGTATTATCACATAAATCATTCTATTCAAAGTTATATTTTTTTAAATGTTATTTTTCTTCAAAAATTATGTTTCAAATTCACATGTGCATCGTGATGTCGACTACCTGGTTTTAGTGTCACTGGAAGAGTGGGCATTGTAGTTGGAATTATAGTAGTCACCGGTGGTGGCGGTCTAGGAATCAACGGCGCCGCTCTTGCTTGGAAGGTCTCTGGAATGAATAAAAACATAGAACAAATGTATTAAAGTAGACAATTAATCTGCGATGGGCGTTTTTTGTGATCAGTGTTTTTTGCAAAAATGATTAGTTACATTTTGACAGACCTTTTTCTCGTAATTGGCTTTGCCAACTAAAATTATTTTTACTTTGCAGGCTTTTGCACAATTCTGTTAGTTTTGCAGTATTTCGCACATAACCATTAGATTATTTCATGACCCAAATGCATGATAGTTAAGAACTTAAAGTGTCAACTATTGTGATAATTTTCATAAACTAAAGCTAAATTAATCATCATCAGTTAGCGAATTCATTATTAAAACACCTAGACAAAAGAAAAATCATGTATACCTTACCCATTTATTATCATGATGAATTTATAAATATTTTGTTTGAATGAATAAAAATCGTATTTAGTACTTGCACACTGTATTTTTAGCTCCGCTGTTAACAACCGCAAGTCTGATTGCTTTGATATTACATATGTAAATACTAAATGTGGAACTCTCTCAGATTTGTTCATTTCGTGATGATATCTTTAATTCTCTAATGTTGATGGTTATTTTTGGTAAAAGTGATATTTTCGACTTCTTGTTAAAAACCGCAAGTCCAATTGCTTTGATATTATATATACTATTAGATACTACAGGTAGACCTCTCTCAGATTTGTTCATTTCGTGATGATTTTTTTCTTCAATTATCTAGTTTTGATGAATATTTTTGATAAAAAGTTATATTTTCGAATTGCTGTTGAAAACAGCAAGTTCGATTCCTTTAATACTATAAATATTGTTCATTTTCTGATGATATCTTCTGTTCTTTAATTGAAATGTGCATTGCTAACAGCGGAGCCATCTCAGCCGACAGGCTGCTAGTTTTCAAAATAAATCCCAACATTTTGCAACAGTCATTTTATTGATGTGTATCCCACACGACTACAAGGCACTGCAATTATGGTAAACACATTGTTTGACGAATTGTCGAAGACAGATGGTTTTAATATACTTTTTGTGTTATATTCAAACTATGTTTTACCTAGCTTCACCGATATCGCTATCTGTCGTTTATCTGTTATTCGATCCGGGATTCTCACGTTGCCCACATGTCTTCGTATACCTGTGGTTCGTCTAAGAATTCTGACGGTGCCTATGTCTCGTCGTCTACCTGTGGTTCGTCTAAGAATTCTCACGGTGTCCATGTCTCGTCGTCTACCTGTGGTTCGTCTAAACATTCTCACGGTGTTCATGTCTCGTCGTTTACATGTGGTTTGTTTACGAGATTTATGATTGGGATCGTCTACTAATAATAGGGTTTGGTTGGTTAGGTTGCCACATTGCGGACACTGTCCCCCAAAAAAATCGTGATATATTCGGGCAGTTTATTGCCCCATAAAACGTGCATGCCATGCATGATTCAGAATTAATAGTATAGCCGTGACGTATTGTGCGACGTATCAGATCTGTCCAAACACAAGTTCATTATTGTATCTTACTTTTCAAAGTAGTCCTTGTACCATCTATCAATGACACGTGTCATGGTACATTGTTTGTTCTGTTTTTGTAGTGATACCTTATATGACTTTCCGATTCATGAAAAACACTTAAGATTGGTGTGTTGTTAAACTGTTAAACTTTTATCTTAGGAATGTCAATGATAAGGAAAACGTATATGACATTCAATACACTGCTGTGTTTTTATGAAACGTTTAAACAAATCTACGGATATGTATATATTATTAATTGCGTCTCAAACACGTAAGTATCAAAATGTAGTATGTTTCCACTTTAAATTATGTTTAATCAATGTTAAAAATGGATCATTCAGCTATATTCGGTATATCTAATAACTTCGTTATTGTGTTTACTATTTACACACCGATTCGAGTGTATGCTCACTTCCAGTTAACAACGTTTCAAATTTATTTGACGATCAGTTACTTCCTCATGGTGGATTGTGGCAATTTGCCTCGAGTCCTTAGGGTCAGGGTTGTCTCAGTGGGCGAGTTGTCGAAAACAAGACACTCCGTCAAACTCACTAATAAACAGCATTGGTACATATGCAGTAAAGTCAGTGAGCTGTACGGCCCATGTACGTAATATACGCCACCAAATCATGCAAACTAAGGGGTTGCCACCTGAAAAGCCTGCAATGTTATTACATCGCTGGATTCCAAGACATTCCTATAGTAAATGTAAATGACCTTGGTTTTATTTTCGTCATGATTCAATCGAACATAAAACCGCCCGACGGCGTTGGTCAACGTGATTCACAGTCACTGTGGTAGTGGCTGTCTTCGACGGCTAAATGATTTTTTTTTGGCAGACAAGGAACCTTTTAACAAATGGGTAAGGTGTGAATTGTTTTTGTCTTGGAGGACAAAATATATTTTTTACCATTCTGAAACAATATTAACACTTCAACAGCAACGGAGTTGTTATTTTCGGTGTTTGATATTTTACACCTTATGTGCGATGTAAATTGATTTGTTGCCACACCTAAAATTTAAATAATCAAGCTGAAATTGTTCTGTTTATATACGCACTCGAAGCTTTATCGTCATGGAAACCTCGTGATATCGCTTCAACAAGGTAATAATACAGATAAAATATACCATATATAAAGACTGCAATTGGTAAATATTCTAATCGGTAAGAGGTATATGATATGATATGATATGATGATCAATTTTTAACCACGTATACAATGCGTGTGAAAAAGACTTACCTGTTTGGCTGCGCCCGGCAAGTAATGCCAACTGGTCAATTAGTTCATCGTCGTTACTAATGTAGAAAACGGGGGAAATTAGTTGTTTTAACATTACAGCAGATACTTGTAATACAAATCCAAGTCTTTTCTCGTTAGACACAGTAAATAGAATTGCATAATAACAATAACGAGGCCATAGTCACATATTCAACATGTAACTATTATGACATATACTCGAACGCAGTTTATCAGTAAACATTGTAGACTGGTATGATACAGTAGCACTATAACGGTAATCATACGAAAGTCAAGACGACAAGATGACTGGCACCAGGTATAACTTGGGAAATTTGTATTACCGGACAATTCCTTTGCTAGTTCAAGGTTTGTTTTTGATTCAGTAGATCCCAATGTGATAAAATATGTAAATTACTCTCGTCAGAATATATAGTTGTAACAATTTCTTCCACAATACGACAAATAGACTCAAATTCACGAACAATTCCCTCTCGCGACAATGGTCAACTTCTCACTAGACGGAACAAACCGGATTTCCAAGCGGAGAAACTTTTACATTGCAGTCAAATAAGAAGGTACATTTGGTTGAAATATGAACTTTTCATCGATTTTTAAGTTGTCTATATAATATCTGAAAACGCTATATTGTGTTGGGCCAGCTTTTAAAGGCTAAGGGATGCCAAGGAGTACGAGCAGATTGAACGCTACTTACAATGTTTCTCGTGGGTATTCGTATTTTGCAGTCACGACAACAGCGGCGAAACAGACGATTATAAAGTAACTATTAAAGCAAATCATATTGCTGCATGGTCTACGTCTGTAGGAATGATTACTACCGGGATGCGTATTGTGCAGGGATATGTACCTTTAAAAAGTGTGCCTTCACACGTCCAAATAACCAGTAATATGAGCTGAGAAGTTTATACGAGATGTTTATATATACATATACTCACGACAACTGACGTCACCACTCTACTATAGTATACTGGTAGCTACTGGTCAGATTTGTGTTATTAATATGATATTTATTGATCAATAATAAATGTGTAGTACTTGATTCGCATATTAACGAGAATAAGTAAGGTCGTGATATGGCATCAAGTAGGGACACGTCATCTGGAAGGTATGATCCTCATCTCTGTCATAGAAACAGTCGGTGTTATCACCATTTCCGCCCTAAAGTTTGCGAAATCGATAACAACCTCCGTCAAAATATCTTGCTCATTTCTTGCTTTTATGATTATATGATCGTTATCATTTTTTACAGGATGGGCAAATTTCGACCTTGCATAATACCTAGCCATTTTGACCGCGTACTCAGCATGCTTACTGTAGATAGGATACATTTATTAAAGGGAAGCAGAGGTGTGGCTTTTGACACTCTGTACATGAAATCTGAGATCTATGAATGAATTCTGTCGATAAAAATAACTTATATGTGCTGCGAAATGCCCTAAATATCGGGTATAAAACGGGCTGTGAAGCAGACGACAACGTCCGCTTTTCCTGGCGTCATTTCGCCTCTAGAGGGCCAGTCAAATGACGTCATCAGTGAACACTAATAATTGAACCCATTCATGCTAGTACGTCAATCCCATAGAAATGCTACTATGAAATACCTTGTTAACTGACTGCTTAAAAGTTGAAACATGGAGAGGTGTTGTGTTATGAATGCCATAACGATTCATGTTATGTTTCTCGAAATCCCAAATAAAAAATTACGTTGTTGGTTGCGAGAAATCGGCGGAAGAACTAACCTGAAAGTAAAGACAGTACAGCGTTCTGGTTATAGTAAAC